GTTCAAAACCAATCCAATCCCAGCCCGGAACACCACACAGAAACGGGTCAAAACTAGGATCGCTACACATCTCTATCCAAATAGGTAGCTTGATGTCATTTAGGACTCTTGCCCTTTATCTGAATATCTCGGGTTCAGATATGATCACATCATATCTCGACAACTTGGTCCATCCATGTGGCACCTAGGCTAACAACCTTGGCCACGTGGACAACCCAAAAAATATGTCCTCACAATATCAACACAATTTGAATAGCACATAAAATAAATAAAGACGTGATAGTGGCCAAGCATTTGAATGTGCTGCACAATCAAGAAAACCCACCATTATCTCTTTTCTTACTCTGTTTTTTTTCAATTTCTTTTCAACAAAGATGAAGAAATAGTCCATGAATTATGAGTGAAAATTTAAATTGGGCTATAGATATAAAATAAAATAAAAATAATGACCCGTGAGAGACATACAAGTTAAAGAAAAAAAGATAAAAAAGAAAATGTTGAAATATTTAAAAAGTGTTGTGCAGTCCACTCCCAAAAGCAACCACGCTCTTCTTTTCAACGGCCCACACAAACCAATGTCAAAACCCACGTCTGACAACACAAAAAAGAAAAACAAATACATATCAGTTTAAGGTTTAGAAACACCAACCTAAATAAATTGAAAGCTGCATAAAAAATGAAAAAGAAACAAAACACATGCGCGCACAAAAAAAAATTAAAAAAAAATAAAGAAACCCAAATACATATCAGTTTAAGGTTTAGAAAAACAAATACAAATCCAAATCTTAGAAATACAAACTCAAATTGATGTGTCTCTTTTGCCTTGATTCTAACGGTTTGGTTCTGATTTTAGAAAATTTTACTTTTTTATTTTCCGTATTTTAATATTTTCAATGAATTTTTCTAATCTTTTAAGCAATTCTTTTTAATTTTTAAGCACACTTAACATAAATACACTTAAAAAGTATACTATTTGTGAAAAAAATCTTTACAAAATACACTAAATACCAAAAAATACAAAAAAAAATGAAAATTCAGTACAATTTTCGTATTTTTGTGTATTATTAATTTTTTAAAATATTTTTTCAAAAATATTTTACTATTTATACACATTTAAGTATGATGCATCTAAAAAAGTAAGAAAATTGCTTAAAATTTAAAAATTATTCACTAAAAACAAAAAAATACGAAAAATAAAAAACTCAATTTTCAGAAAATTAAATTTAAAAAATTGAAACCATACAGACATAATGATTTTCAATGCTTTGTTCCAATGCTTTGGGTCTCTTTTGCGTTGTTTCCAACTTTTTCTATGATTCCATTGAATGCATACCTAATCACACAAACCCAAACAAAAATCTTAGAAACATAAAAGGTTGGAAAATTAAATATTACAAACACAAATACAAATCGAAATCGAAATCTTAAAAACACAACCTAATCAAAATAAATAAATAAATAAAATAACACAAATCCAACGCAATGAAACATTTCAATGAATTAATGAAACATTGAGAACCATCTCTCTTCCTTTTTTTTCTCTCTCTAAAACCCTCCTACTCCCTCTAGCTCCTTCATCACCGTCTTAGCCCACACCAACCATGGGCCCACCGTCTCCTCCTCCCGATGGTGAAGTTCGTTCCTTGATGCCGACGGCCTCGCCGCCATTGTTGGTGTGGTCTCTGTCTGAGACCTACTCCGATGAATGTTGTCTTGTGTCATTGTCGCCGTCTCCCTACAGATCATAGTCAGATATGCACTTTCTGATCAGAATTGAAGCAGATGCAGAAAGTTGAAGTAAATCCACATTAACTATAATCAGAATTGTTCGTCGTTGGTGTGTATCTGATTTGATTACTCATATCAGTAAGTAGATTTTCGGATTGACAAAAGTTTATTGTTCAGAAAAATATGTTTAGAAATTGTTGAGATCTAAATCCATATTTAAATATTAACTTTAAATTTGAATTTCTGATTTTAAAGGGTGAGAAGAAGAACAATTGTGATAGAGAGGATTGGTTTTTTTCGTTTTGTTCAAGAAGAAGAACAGAGAGTAAGAGAGAGATAGAGAGGGAAGGTTGGGATGGTCAGACGTGGGTAGGTGAGACTCTTTATAGGTGTGAAATATTTGGGCGGGAACCATCATTGATCTGAACCGTTGATACAAATTTAGAATTCATCTCAGTCACTCAAATGAAATGTGTCTCTGATACATTTTATACATTTTCAAAAGCCCTTCTGCCTTATTATATAGATGTCAAATAATTAAAAACAAAACATTTGTATTTCACTTAGGTCTCATTTGAGAATTAATTATTTTAATCAAATTTTGAAATTTGTTATAAAAGATATATATAAAGTAAGGAGAGTAATTGCTTCTAACTAAAAACCGTACTTTACATCTTCTATAAATAGACAAGAAGTAATGAGATAACTTCCCTCATTACTTCTCTCTAACAACCTCACTATACCTTACCTTTAACTAATAAATCTGTTACAAATATAATGAAATAATATCCCTCGTTACTTCTAACTAACTCTCTAATATATATGATTTTAATTTATTTTAAATATTACTTTTATTGTATAAGAGTTGAATAATTATTATTTTTTTATATTTGTTATTGATTTTGATCATTAATTTTATAAATAAAGAAAAAAAATTCAGACTTTAAAATTTTTTGCCCCCATAATTTGACATACAATATGTGACATCTCCAATGGTAATAGGCACTTTATCTTTCTAAACATTACTATAAAGTATACATCTTACTTTACCTATCAACTGTTTCATGTTTCTACTCTAACCATACTCTGTATTTTAGTTATTTATCCAAATATTATTCAGTGTGTTTGATTTGAGTTTTTTGAATTAAGTTTTTTGAAAATTGATTTTTTTGGTTTTCGTATTTTTTTGTTTTTAGTGAATATTCTTAAAATTTTAAACATTTTTTTTACTTTTTTAGATGCACCTTACTTAGATGTATCTAAAAAGTAAAAAATTTATGAAAAAATATTTTTAAAAATTAATAAATACATAAAAATATAAAAAATATACTGAATTTTCGTTTTTTTTTTATTTATTTTTGGTATTTAGTGAATTTTTAAAAGGTTTTTTTCAAAATTTTTTTTACTTTTTATGTATATTTATGTCAGGCGTGTCTAAAAATTAAAAAAATTGCTCAAAATATTAAAAAAATTCAGTAAAAACAAAAAAAAATGAAAAATAAGAAAGTAGAATTTTCTGAAAAGTATTTTTGAAAAATAATAACAAAGCATAGTGATTAACTTTATAGAATGTCACATCAGCAACAAAGATGGAGGAAAATAATCCTAATGATTAAACACATTTTGCCTAGCCTTGAAAGCTAATTACATGTAGCTAGTAAATATGAGTTAAGCTAAAATGTCTAATTATATGCCTAGTACATTGGAGTTGAAAAAAGTGAATCACACTTAATCATATAAATTTTAAATCCCTTACTATATCATTATATGTGGATTTAAAATTTTAAATTATGAGCCACTAACCTTACTCTAACAATTAAATTCTTGATCCACCTAATAATGTTTTTCACTGAAGTGTCATTGAAAGGTCATATATGATACGAAAAAAAAATTACAAACAAATTTAATTTATACATAAAATTTATTAAAAAAATATAATAAAAATAATATGACAGTAATATTATTATAAATATAAATCATTTTTATGAATACATAATTTTAATGTAAAAGTTTCCATTAAAACCCATCATTAGAAAAAAAAACTAGAAGGAAGGAATGCCTAGTGTCACTCTTGTTGTCAAACCGCCCCATGTCAGTCCAGGTGCCTCCCCCCCCTCATCTCTCTCGCATGACTACCTAAATTTACATCTCAATTTCTATCTCTATATCCACGTCTCGATTTATATCTCTATATCTATCTTTATGGATACTATCATAATGAGGGGAAATTCTATGGACTTCTCTTCCTGGTTATGTCTTATATTTTCAGTTTTTTAAAAATATTTTTATATTAGTTTTATTTTATCTATTTATTTTGGTGTTTATATCTCATATTTTGAAATTTTTCTAAATATTTTTAGATGATCATATGTGCACACATAAAAGGGAGACATGAGATGGTATTTGTGTCTCATATTTTGAATTCAATCATACAATTTATAATCTTACTTTCAAAATACACCTATGTCAGTTCTTCTATAATCTTATTTTCTAAAATTGTTTCTAGTACTATTGAAAATTATATGCATCTTATTATGTATTTTTGTGATTTATCATGATTCAAAAATGAAATTATATAGTTTATAATATATTTTTGTAATGTATTGTGGTTCGAAAATAAAATTACATATTTTAGGATAATATTACACATAGAAAATATTATGAACTCCAAATAATCTACCAAATGTTTTACAATCTCTCATATGGGTGTGATACCCACACAAACTTACATGTGTATAGGTCCCACACCATACGAGAGGTTTAATAAAACATGAAAAATGTTAAGAATACTAACAATCTTACCGATAGACTCACAAGTTGATGTGGGTCCCATACTTCACAAGTTGATGTGGGTCCCATACCAAGTGATGGTTAATCTTATCAAAATTTGTGAGTGTGTTAGTAAGATTGTAAATATTCCTAATATTGTTGATAAAACATTTAATAAATTATTTGGAATCCTTAATATTACTCATTACACATTTAAGACTCGAATCCAAGATTTTTGGTATAATAAATAACACTATCATCAATTAATAAATAGCTCAATTAACAAAGCTTTCCTTCATCTTAGTGAGGAAAGTTTTTAGCACTTGTAAAACATTTTCTGTTCCCTTCAAGGCTTCAACCCCAACCCCGCCACCGCCACCACACAGGACCCAAGAAACAGAGAAAAGAGATACATCAGCTTCTTCTTCTTCTTTTTCAATCATCTCCGTCCATTGCATGTTGTTAGCTCTAGAGAGAGACACAGAGAGAGAGGAATAAAAGCAATGGAGGATTTGGAGGTGGCACAGACTGATCAGACAACCACGACTACTGGCAGCAAAGAAGCCTCCGCCGCCATCTTTAACAAAACTAATCGTACTGTTACATTGAAGGTACCATGTATATATATATGCTAATGTCTCATTCCCTTCAATACTATGAAGTGAATTGAATGTTTGTTTTCTCTACCCAAAACATTCAATTTAAGTCTTATCTTACTTGTTAAAAAATTTGTGAGTTTTATTAATAAGATTTCTTTGAAAATTTTGGTGGACTTTAAGCAACCAGACTAAGTGGTCTAATAATTGAGTCCTCTCTTGTTTTCGTTGTTCTTGGATTGAACAATTCAATTCAATCAGTGGGTTTTTTTTTTTTCTTTTTTTTTTCTTTTAATTTTTCTGTAAATTTTAATTGATGTAGTCAAAATGGTAACAAATTGTTTTCTGAGATTAAAACTTTTGAAACATACATCCAGGAAAATAGTTTGCATTTGACATTTGGGTTTTCTTTGTAAGTCCCTGCCCTGCTCCATTCTAGGGGTTTTGTCAAAAATATATAATTACTTAAATATATTTATTTTTTCTTTTAGGATTTGTACTGTAAAAAAGTATGTTTATATATATATATATATATAATTTTTTTTGAAATGAAGTTCTATTACTGCAGGCCCAATTCATGAATACAAAAGGTTTATAAGATTTGTTAGTTTGTATAGCGTTACCTTGGCATTATCACCATATACATATTAATGCTTTTTATGAGTAAGTGTACTAAACTGGTGGTTGTATAAATTGTACAGTTTGAGGATGTTGTTTACAAGGTTAAACCCAAAAAAGGAGGGGAGCTAAAGAACTCAAAATCGGAAGAAAAAATTATCCTAAAGGGAATCACTGGTATAGTACTCCCCGGTGAAATGTTAGCCATGTTAGGCCCATCAGGCAGTGGCAAAACAACTCTCCTAACTGCATTGGGAGGCCGGCTCAGTGGCCAACTCACCGGGACTATAACTTACAACGGAGAACCTTTTTCCAACATAATGAAGCAAAATACCGGATTTGTCACACAGGACGATGTCCTGTACCCTCATTTGACCGTGACTGAAACGCTAGTGTTCACTGCTCTTCTTCGCTTACCTAATAATTTCACAAAATTGGAAAAAATCGGTCATGCTGAGGCGGTTATAAGTCAACTTGGATTGACTACGTGCAAGAATTGCATCATTGGAGGTCCATTTCTAAGGGGAGTCTCTGGGGGAGAGCGAAAAAGAGTCAGTATTGGGCAAGAAATGCTTATTAATCCGAGTTTGTTGTTTTTGGATGAGCCAACATCAGGGCTTGATTCCACGACAGCTCAGCGGATTGTGTCAACATTGTCGGGATTGGTAAATGGAGGGAGAACGATTGTGATGACGATTCACCAGCCTTCAAGTAGGCTGTTTTACATGTTTCATAAGGTCTTGTTGTTGTCGGAAGGTAATCCGTTGTATTTTGGGAAGGGAGATGAAGTGATGGATTATTTCTCCTCCATTGGTTATGCCCCCTCCGTTGCCATGAATCCTTCTGATTTTCTGCTAGATCTTGCAACTGGTACGTGCACAATAACTCAATTATATCTTTTGCAAGAGTGCAAATATTTTATTTTATTTTTTTTAAAGATTAGAATTTGTTACATGGTTTATTGGGATTGTAAAGAGTAAGATATTTTAGTTACCTCTTATGTTGAATAAATTGGTTATTAAATAAGGGAGATATAATATGGGTTACAATTAGAGCTAACAAATTTAACCCCAATGTACAAATGGAAATTAGCTGCATCTTGTGAACCCATTTAAAATTTGACTTATATGGGTTGAATATAAGTACTTTTACTTGGTTTCGATAAATCTAGTCACAAAGTAAGGAATTATCTACACCACCATACCACCATTGCTATTTGGGGGAGAAAAAAAAAAGTTTAATAAAGGATTGAAAGAGTTGATCTGTCAAACTGGTACCCAATTCTACCGAACCTGTTTATTAATGGGTGGGTTTGGATTGAATTATTTTAATGCAGAACTTGTTGTGATCCACAAAGTAAGGAATTATCCACACCACCATACCATACCACCATTGCTATTTGGGGGAGAAAAAAAAAAGTTTAATAAAGGATTGAACGAGTTGAGCTGTCAAACTTGTACCCAATTCCACCGAACCTGTTTATTAATGGGTGGGTTTGGATTGAATTATTTTAATGCATAACTTGTTGTGATCCACCCAAATTGAGCCAAACTTGCCGGTTTGCAACCTCTTAAGTACAATACTACCGTTTTTGGTGGGCTTATTACTCTGTTTCTTTAATGGGAGAAAATCATGTTTGTTATAATTTATGACAAAGCAAATGGATTATTGATGAGAAGGGCAAAACATAGAGAAAAATAAAATCAATGTCATATTGATAAAATACAATTTTTGTAGGTATTTCATCTGATGGTTCCAGGGAGGATCAAAATGCGGTTAAGCAGACTCTGGTTTCTGCTTTTAAGACCAACATCGCCGACACATTGAAGTCAGAAACCCATGAAACTGGCCACCATCGCCTTCATGGAGGAGGATTACAAGACAAGCAGTTTGAGCGGTGGAATACCACTTGGTGCCAACAATTTTTGGTGTTGCTTAGGAGAGGTGTGAAAGAAAGGAAGCATCAGGCGTTCTCTTTTCTCAAAATCGGACAGGTCTTGGTGGTTTCTTTACTTGTAGGGTTACTATGGTGGCAATCTGATATATCTCACTTACAAGATCAGGTACACCCATTATTTGCTTTCTTGTTCTCTATAGATGTTGCAGACAAATATTTATATATATATATATATAGAGAGAGAGAGAGAGAGAGAGACAGGATTGATAGTATCTCTGGTACATTAACCTCCACTGAACAATGTCCATTCCCACTTTTCTTGATACACTGCTTCACTGTTTTTGAAAGCTAAAGAAAAATCAATACACCCCATTTATCAATCTTCAAGTATTTTCAAGTCCAACTTCCAATTTTTAGTAATACATTAGTATTACTAAAAATTGGGAGTTGGATTGGTATTACTAAAGGGTTGAAAATACTTAAGATAGTTTACGGTTATATGGACAATGTTGCGGGTGTCTCAAATTCAACTCATATGATGATTATTACCCATTGATGATCTGCTCAAATTGATATGATTTGATTAATGGGCATATGGCGTGGTTTTCTCTCATTTGACCTGTTATTTATATGATACTTATGGATCTTCTATATATTGGGTTATTTTGAGATTGTAGATTTGTGAAGATCTTGTGAGTTTTGTAAAAGGGTTGTGAAAGAGAGAGCATCTCATTGTAATCTCTACATTTATAGTGAAACTCATTTGTTGTTCGTTGCACATAGACAGGTTTATAACAGAATCACGTAAATATATATCTTTTTGTATGTTTATTTTGTTTTGACTTTCCTCACCTTCACCCTTGCCATAACAGACAATAGACTTCATTTCAGTTGTTTTGGGAACAGATCCATTTTTGAGATGGGAATGAAACTTATCAATTACTGATAATTATAAAACCAAAGCTTATCACGTATCATGTTTTCACCAAATTAATCGAAATTCTGTTTGGCTTTGATCATGCAGATAGGACTTCTCTTCTTCACCTCCGAATTTTGGGGCTTCTACCCTCTCTTCGAAGCCATTTTCATGTTCCCACAAGAACGCAGGATGCTAGCAAAGGAAAGATCCTCCGGCATGTACAGGCTCTCGTCATATTTCATGGCAATGACAGTTGGCGACCTGCCAATGGAGCTTGTCCTCCCCACTGTCTTCCTAACCATAATCTATTGGATGGCAGGGCTGAAACCCACTGTGTTAAACTTCTGCAAGACCTTGTTTGTTCTCCTATATAGCGTCCTAGTCTCTCAAGGACTAGGACTCGCACTTGGTGCCATAGTGATGCATCAAAAATCGGCTGCCACACTTGGAGGGGTCATCATGCTATCGTTCCACTTAACCGGAGGGTTCTATGTACAACATGTCCCTAAATTCATAGCATGGATTAGGTATATATCTATCAGTCGGTACACATACAAGCTCTTGTTGGGGTCACAATACAAGGCCAGTGACACATACCCTTGTGCTGCTAAGAATGGGACTTGTTTGGTTGGGGATTTTCCTTCAATTAAGCTTGTGGGACTTGATCGATATGGCTTGTCAGTGTTTGCCCTTGGTATAATGCTCCTAGGTTACAGGACTGTGGCTTATATTGCCCTCATGAGGGTTGGAGTCACCAGAAAATAGGTTTCAAAGTTTTTCTTTTTAAACTTTTTGTACAACCCCTATCAGGATTGTAACTTAATTTTAGTTTCTTTCAAAAAAAATAAATAAAATAAAATAATAAATGCCTTTGAAATTAGTCAATTGTTATAATTTTCTAACAAAAATTTCATCTTAACCAGGTGCAAACTAGAAATTAATTTTGCTCTGATTTCATTTTCCATCATATGCTTTTACTCTAATTAAGGTTGATGAAGAGGAAGAATAGTGGTCAATGATGAACTACTGACTCAACTAAGAGCCCTTCTGATTCCAGACATGCTTGGTGCTGTTTATGAGAGAGAAAAATGTCTTTGAAGAACAATCCCTGTTTCTTTTTCTATTTCCTTCCAGTTGGAAAAATAAAAAAAATAAAAAATCTTTAAATCAAAAAGATGATGAGCATTTGAGCGTCCAATTTCATATATAACTTGAGAAATGCTATAATCAATTTTTTTTAAGAGAAAATTAGTTTAAGGTTCCTATTCCATTTTTAGTAATGGAAGAAATTTATAATATTATTTTATGATGTTTAAGGTCCCTCAATCTTAACACCCATAAATTATAGAAAAATTTGATTCTCTCAAATCAAACTAGTCTCTCCCTCTCTTTCTCTCTCTCTGCTCTTCTCTCTCCAATGAACTCTACCTCCATCACCGCCGCCGATAACTCTTTCTTATCGTTGCATCTCCTCCCGCCAGTGGTGGAGTCAGGAAATTAAATAAGGAGTGGCACTTATTTTATTATTATTTTTATTATTATTATTATTATTATTATTATTTATTTATTTTTTAATAACCAACAATAAGAAGATAATAATAATTTTTGAATTAATATAAATAAATTGTTACAAAAGCATTTCATATAAAATTTTACAATTAACTTAGAATAAAATCGAAAAGAAAGTATTGTGCGTAATGTAAAAAAGTCATATATTTAAGTTGTAAAATAAATTATATAATGGTAAGATAAATCAAATTTTTCAAAATTTGCGTAAAAATTTCATATAATATGATATTACGTCATTATTGACATATGATATCACCAACCAATAGTAAAACAACATATGAACGGTGAACTCCACATGCAAATATAACTATCACTCTAATAATTTTTACATATATATAGTGAAATTAATTATATTTGCATATCAATAATGATAGATATTACCTTTATATTGAGATTTTTTCACAAAATTTTCATTCATAAAAATATAATTTGGTGTAGTCACTTCATTTTTAATAAAACAATCACTATTGTTTTCATAAATTTAAAAATACCCTTGATATTTTATTCTAAATATTATTTTTGTTTAAATTTTATTTATATACATATGTAAAAAAATAATAATAATAATTCCAGGGGGCACGTGTGTAGACACCCCATTTTTGACCGTCCTCAAGACTTGGACGTCATCGTTTGAACACTCGGTGATCATCCATGTTCGTGTTCGTTTTGAGTTTTCGGAAGTCTCGGCTACGCGCCTTGCCTTAAGATCTCTCGACTTGCTTGTTTTGTGTTTGGTTTTGCACCAAACACTTGTTGCTTTGCTTCTGAGGGCAGGGAATGGCTTGTTGGTCATCCCCACACCTTACCGGCCATGGCTTGAGACCACCAGTCCCGTTTTGTTGGTACCAGCCATTGGTGATGGCCGGTCGGCACTCTTTATGGTCGGCCGACCATTGTTTTGGTCAATTTGTCATTTTTGGCTGGCCGACCAGTGTTCATCTGGTTTTGATAGATATTTTATGCCAGCTGTGATAGCTGGCATCCACAATGCCCCCCCTCCATACACGTGTATGGAGGGATTTCCTTCTTGCTTAGCTTGTTTTGTAAGCTTTGCAAGATTGGAATTCCTATAAAGGGAGGGCTTCTTCTCCCTCCTCAAGGGTTCCAAAAAAGTTCCAGAGGTCTGAAAATTAGGGTTAGAATATTTGTATCTATCTATCTCTATATCTCTCTCTCATTGCATATTTGTGTGTGTTAAAGGTTGTTTTGTTCTTAGTTTTGCACTAAGACACCTAGTATTACACCATACCTTGGTTGCTGAGGTGCCAAAGGGTTGTTCTTGGAGTTTTTGAGCTGGTTTTGACCTAAGGAGGCTGCTGGAGTGGTCTTCTTGAAGAAGGTCTTCAAGGGTAGGAACCTTACCCCTTTATTCTCCATTTTTATACAAGCTTTTGACCTATTTTGCACCTGTTTTTAAGCTTAGTGAATAACTAATAAAATTTCTGATTTTGTGTGTTTTAGAACTTTGTTTAAGGTTGCTTTGAGGTTTGGGGTTGTTTCCCCCCTCCAAGGCCTTGTTAGGCCTTGTTTAAGGCCATATCTTTTGGCCCTCACTTTGAGCTTTGCATGACCTCTCTACCACTGAAATCCAGAGGATTTTCAGTGGTGGAGAGGTGGTTTTGAGGTCCTAAATGAGAGAGGGTCATCCCCTCTCCATGTTGCCTTTTATGCTTGCACAAATGGCTTGTGTTGTAGCTTGTATGCCTAGCTTGCTTTAGCTTCTTTTCAGGAGTAGTTGTGCTTATTTTGTCATGATATAGCACTGTTTTAAGTTGGTTTAGACACACCATGCATACTTTGCATACTTGTCTTGTAATGCCATGAAATTGCCTTAACATGCATCATGATGTACCATGACTTTTTAGCATGATTTTGGCTTAGCTTTGTGGAGCTTTTATGCATGTTTTGGTATGCTTAAAGTCTGATTTTGGTTGCTTGGGTCATCCGTGACTTGCTTTGTATAGCTACCATGCAACCTAGCTTGTAGGCTTTGAGTATTGGAACCTCTAGCATGCTTTACTTGCATTATTTCAGTGACTTGGAGTCACTTACCATGTCATTTCAGTCCATATGGGATGCTTCTTTAATGTCTTAAAGAGTTTGTGTTTCATGCTCCATGTTTGTGCCATTGTGTATGCCATCATGTGTAGGCATTTGGTATGCCATCTAAGTGTGTCTTTGGCCTTGTTTTGGTCTGCCTTGGGACTGTTTTCAGTCCCTTTGGCCCTTTGAGGCTTGGTTGGCATGGTCATGGCTTGAGCCCCTTGGCTAGCCTTGAGTCTTGGACCTTGTTGCATGCTTTGCTTGATTTGTTTAGTTGGTTTGGCACCTTTTCTAACATGATTTCAGAGCTTACAATGTATGCCATTTGTCCATGTTTGTTCCTTTTAAGTGTGCTTAAAAGTTGCCTCTTTATGCTTAAGTATTGGATCATGTATGCATGCATGTTTGTATGTACATTTGCCTCCATTTCCTTGGCATATTGGCCACTAGTAGAGAGCTGTCCATCTTAGTGTAAGTCCATCCTTTGCATGTTGTTGCATGCTCACCTTGCGTGTTGTTGTATGCTCGGCCTATCACATGCTGTTACATGCTTGAATCACTTTGCATTTGGCATGCATTTTCTTTGTTAAGTTGCTTTACATGTTTCCATGCTAAGTCCCCTTCACATGTTGTTTCATGTTTGTCATTAGCATTGTTGTTACATGCCTCGCATGCTTGTTTGCTTAGGTTGTGTGCCTAGTACACATTGCTTGCTTGCATGTTCATGTTGCATACTTAGCTTGCATGCTTATGATGCATAACATTATGCATATCATGCATGCCTTGCCTCTTGATCAAGCATGATAGAGGTCGGGTCCTTTATGTGTTTTGTGTGCATTCCATTTGACATTAAAATTGCACACTTTGGCCTCTCGGACCATCATGCATTGAAATACGTGATTGGTGGCCCGAGGGTCGAGGACCAAACTCCCTTGAGTTCATAACATGATGGGGAGGTTGGTTGTGCAAACATTTGCTTTAAGATGCATTGCCATGCCTTGTCTATCCTCTGCTGCTATCAAAACAAGGTTCTGCAGGAAGATATGGTCGACCGACCATTTTTAGTGCCGATTGACCAATAATGGATGGCCGAGAGCCTTACAACTGGTCGATGACCACCTTCCCATGGCCGGTGACCATTCCTCTTGGTCGGTGACCTTCTACAGTGATCAGGGAGTGATGCTGAAGCATCCTTAGGACTTGTGCAGTCTTCAGAGATGCAGAGCAGTGTAAACAGAGGCAGCTTGTGCGTGGCGGTGGATTTCCGAGCGGAGCCGAGCACGCATGCATTGGACCCTCTTCCCGAGGCTGTTTTACCGCTTTATTAGCTTAGTTAATTTGCTTAAACTAGTTAAGTGGTCTGTAACTATTTAATTAGCTTGTTAGTTAGTTAAATTTGTATTATTCTTTTGGTCTCTCCGAGAGAAGGCAATTTGTAATAAGTGTGCGTGCGTGTGTGCATGTCTTTCAACCCCCACTTCTTTCTCCCTTTTATTTAACCGCTTATGATGGTTAGTTTTAGGGCATATTTGATTTAGCATACCTTATGCAATGCATGCGTGCATCTATTCATCTGTATTGCATACATCAGGCTCGGCGTATCATACTAACCGCATAGTATTTCAATTCTAATTTGAATACGTGCATCGAGTTGTTGCATTTCATATGCCATCCTTAGATTAGCCGAGCCTATTCTAGTGACATTTTGTAAGCGATGCATTAGCCATTTTAACATGGACTTGGATCATACATTGATTGCTAACATGTTCTTCATTTTAGCTCGGAGTACACTGTGAGTGTTTATACTTTAGCATATTGCATGTATATGCGTGTTAACATGAAAGCATGCTTGCCATGAGGCTAATTGCTTAGTTGATTTATTGCCTGAATGCCTGTGGGTGAAGGTTGGGTTGCTTGAATTGGAATAATTCGTCGAAACCCATGTTTTATCCTACTTGCGAGTAGCAAACCTCAAACCATTTTCCAAACAAAACGGATATGCGATGCTTTGTTCCAAATTAGGCGATCTAGTCTATACTTTTGTGTTGTGCGCATCACATAGTAAGATTAGCTAAATAACCGGAATAAGAATGCATAATGTTTTCAAAACTAGATATTATGGTAGTAGAGGGCGATCTTTGATCGGGTGAGCGGGGGTGCTTAGAGCTGACCTTCCCCAATCGTACCCAAGTTCCCGAGCCGAGGCAACTTTGGTGATGAGGGATACATGGCCTTAGGCAAACAAGTCAAGGTTTCCTAAATTCTACCATAAAAAATATTTAGGTGGCGACTCTGTATCTAGCAAAGCAGTCCACGTTTGGCACTTCTTTCTAAAAATCTATTTTTCAAAACGATTTGCTGGATTTGGATTCTTTGGTGATTTATCAATCTCGCATTGCACATTGTGAGATCAAATTAAGAACCGTGACAATTTGAGTCCGAACTGTAGTGAGCCCAATGAACAAAAATGGGATTTCCCTCCCGGGACGTTCAGGGACGTCTACAGTTTCACGCGACTCTGCTGGGGAA